AGTGTCCGTCATTCGTACGTTAGATAGTTTAACCTAGAGATTCGCACACATCTTGTAAAATCCCCATGTTTGTCATCGTACTCGTTTTCGTCCCAAATCTCTCGTACCTCGCTACTCAATTTAACGTAAGCTAGAAGTTTTATATGGGGTAAATTTTGATTCTATGGATATCGGCTAAGGTACAGGTATGGCCTCCCCACTTTTTTGTAGGGCCGAGTGGCGGACGAACTGTTAAATACTATTTTAAAACTTTTGAGCATATCACTGTGGCAGGTAGGACTAACCAAATTGAGTGTCGTAGCTCAGTATTGGGTCCTGGAACTAGGTCTTGAACCAGCAACCGCTATGCGGGCGCAGGCAGCGCAAGAAATTGACCACCAAAATGAAAGAACGAGATGGCTCCAAAAAAGATGAGATAATCTTTCGTCAGAAAGAGCAAACCCAAACTCGTTCGCACAATAGAGTTTGGCCCCAATGTTCTTTCATAGAACGATCGAACTTTTGATGCTTCCGCTTTCTTTTTGTTGAGGAACCCAGGCTTTACAGATGGTTTCGCGACAGCTGTAGCCGCAGATTTGGACGGGCTTCCGTCTGTTCCTGTACGTGCCATGTTCATCGAAATCTTTCTTAGATTCTCAAGTGCAGAAGCTTTCTTCTCACTTTTCTTGTTCAAAAGTTGGTAAAGCTCCTCCTTTTTGTCGTTGTTTGAAGGCTGGTACACCAATCGAAGAGTCAATGTACAGGTTGGTTGAATTACTTTCGCTTCAGTTGAATCTTCACCTTCGTTCGTCACTTTTTTATCCTGACCTTCGGCTTTGCTCTCGTCACCGCTACCGTTTGCGACGATTCCAATTGGTACTTCTGTTTCGTATCTGTCATTTTGATCGATTGCGTTGACAACACATAGCGGTGCAAGGTCGTGCGGGGCAGATGATCCTATCTCTTTTTCATCAGCAATAACAGAAACTGTCAATGTCGAAACTGCTGTCGCGACACCATGAAAAGTTGCTTTAACATCGTCACTCGGCTCACTGTTTGACGGATCGTACATCTTAGTAAGCGTTGCGTCTTCGACAGGGCTTGATAGCTGTAGATTGACTTTGAGCGAAGAACTGCTATCGGTTCCTTCCACCTGTGTTTTGCAGATAAGTTTTGAAGATTGTGAGTGCACAACGATGGTGCAAACATTCCTGACAAAGACGGGCTGACCTTCACCAACAAAATCTCCAGCGAATTCGGTGCATCAGATTCTGAAGCGCTTAGCTTTCGGAGTGATGCCTTGATGATTTGAATTTCTTGTTCGCACTCCATGACGGCGGTGCGAGCCAGGGCCTGTTCATTGTTAGAGTCCGACATTTGTTTTGAGTTTTTATTTTGTGGTTTACAACGTCTTGCTTTTCACTTTCATGTTCATCACTGCAGAGCTGTCTGTAGTTCTCCCGCGGAGCGACATCAGATCAACAAGATTTTCCGTTTGCGAACCCAAACGTAAAACACATTTTCTCTTCTGATCAAAATGGTGGCTCAAGATTCTGGTGCGTCTTCTTTCTATTGCAATCTTCAATTCACAACAAAATCTAACCACGCCTTTGCTATTAGCGTTGATAAGTTTCCTGTCAGGAGGCGTAGGTGGTAAGTTTGATAGTTTCATGTTTTGTGGTTTTAGTTTATGGACATCCACAACCAACAGCCTGGTTCTCATCCGATTCCACTCGCAGGTATTGCTGCGGTAGCCGTCGGACATCCTTTCGACTTGGTAAAGGTCAGATTACAAACAAGCACTGCTGAGTCCATGAATGGTTCAGTGTTTCGAATTATGCAACGAACGGTTGCCTCCGAGGGCATTCCAGGTAAGATTAGAATGTCTTTCGAATTTGCGTGATGGATCATCCAATAGAATACTCTGCTAAACTCTGTTACAAGGTCTATACCGTGGTGTAAGCGCCCCGTTGTTAGCTGTGTCTCCCATCTACGCGATTTCCTTTTGGGGCTATGATATTGGACAAAGGTTGACTAAGATGATGCGAAAAGATGGAGATGAGTCTCCAATGAGCCTTATTGAAATCAGCTGCGCTGGTGGTATATCAGGTAAGACTGACAACATCACAGAATAAGGTAATACCATCCTAATTTGAAGCTAACCTCCCCCTCCATTGTTATTAATCTTTAGCGTTGCCGACCACAGGTAAGATGTATTGATAATCGTCACTGATTGCGAGTGGACTGGGCTCATCAGCGACAACCTTGCAGTTGTAATGGCTCCAACTGAGCGATTGAAGTGTCTTCTTCAGACTTCCGGGACAAAATATTTAGGACTCCTTGATTGTGCTCGTCAGGTGTATAGCGTTGGTGGGGTTGCGAGCTTGTACAAGGGAACGGTGCTGACATTGGCAAGGGACATTCCTGGCAGCATCGCGTGGTTTGGCACCTATGAAATAATGAAACGAGAACTCGCTAAATTACAGGGAGTCGAGGACCCCTCCAAGCTTTCTTCAATTGCCATTATGGTTGCTGGTGGGTTTGCAGGGATGGCTTGTTGGTAAGGAGCCGAAATGAGTTTGATTGAAACTGTGCATGGATACACGCATTCATCGTCTGTCTTGTGTCTTCTTCGCTGATATCTTCAAAGGGGTGTGTGCATTCCACCGGACACTCTGAAGTCAAGATTTCAGACGTCACGTAAGTGGAACAAGATGCAAAGCAATTTCAAAGCTTTTGAAAGATTTCTCAGCTTGAATGGTCGATGTACTGCAAAATATAGATGAAGGTCAGTACAAAGGAGTAGTTGACGTCTACCGACACATAGTACGAGAAGAAGGACACGGCGGGTTGCTCAAAGGGTTTCGCCCTGCAATGGTAAGAGCCTTTCCGGCGAATGCAGCTTGTTTCTCTGCGATGGAACTTTCCCGGAGCACATTCAACTTGGTAGCTGATTAAGAAAGCAGCCAAAGACGCTTCTTATTACTTGAAATTGCAAATTTTCTTCTCTCAGGTGGCTCTGCCCCCCACCCTTACTGTAGATAGCGCTCGCAAGGCTCAGCCGCTGACCTAGCATGTCAAGTCGACTCAACGGAATGCAGACTCGGGAAGCTTCATATGTCTTCCGTCTTGCCGGTCAATGATCCGCGGTAATCGAAGATTACCTGGCACCGCCTCCGCTCCTGAGCTTGGATCGCATGATGTAGTCCTGTCTGTCAAATTGCATATGTATGCTACCATTGATTGAAAGTGTGAGAATGCTACATATGACGGGTATGTAGGACTGGCATGGCAGCGAAGGTACTAAATTAGGAACTGAAGTCGACTCATAGGACTCAGAAGTCATGGACTGATAAAACTCGGACAGAATAATGTACCGAGCAATGGTGCAAAAGAGAGCCAAGGTGGTGTGGGTGGGAAAAACAAAAACTGTTGTTGGCATTAGCCAACACATTCATGCGCTTGCCATTACCTTCCTTTCTTGCAAGCTCCATTGCAAGAAAACAATGTGGAATCTCCGTCCTTGACCAATCTTCTGCCTGTTTTGTAGAGGCTCTTCATCTGTCCGCAAATTGTACTATCGCTGAGCGGTGTGCCTCTGTCAACTCAACGGAATGGGAAAAGGCTCTCAAGACCCTTCCGTCTTCCGTCTTGCCAAATATATATATAATATATATATATATGTATATATATATATATATATCTATATATCTATATATCTATATATAATATATATATAATATATATAATATATATCCCTTAACGCTTTAGACGATATATATATCCGATAAAAAAAAATTCCACACATTTTACGTAATAACTTCCGCCACACACAAATACACTTTTTACTGTCAATAATAATAACTGAAACATTAATCGATTAAATGCTATCTAGCGCATACGATTGCCGGTGGAATAAGCGGCTGTAAAGGTCAAGTGACGAGTCAACAACTAGTTTGAACCATTGGAGACATCTGGTGGATAGAAGTTGCTCTAGTCAGGATCGAGGGGATCCCAACTCTACCCGCAACAAGGCGGGGTGATTTTGGGGCGTTGATTCCGCGAAATGGGATTAGGGGGCCTGGGCCGGGTGGAAGAAGCGGTGAAGGATACGGCGTTGGGGCGCCAGAGCGCGGCAATAGGCCGTGCGTTCCATTCTAACCAGCTTCAGCCACTCTTCCCTATCGACCAACGGCTTGTTCAACACTGTTCGGCGTTTCACAGCGAGCATGCGTTGAACTACCTTGGGGAGGTTGGTTGGGCCCATATCAAACTGAGAGTGTGTACCGTCGTTCACCAATCGGCTACGTTCGCGTAGCTGTACATTGTCCTTGTTGGGATATGACGAAATATGAGTTTTTACGTTCCAAAATGAAACTATTCAAGTACGAGGTTTTCGACACGTGCGATCGGAATTTGATCGTGCAAGATGTCGGGATTCGACGCAAGTATGCCGGA